AGGCACTTGGAAAGTTCTGCTGCCTCCTTGGCTGGTGTCTGGGAGCTGGGGTTTCAGTTTATCTTTATATTTACATACACATGTATATGCAGTTAGATATGGTTCTACACAATATGTATACCATATAGATACTTATAAATCATGAACATAACTATACTCATAGCTATGCATACCATACACATGCATGCCAATACAACATACAAACAAAAAGTTGTTTCTTTTTGATTTTTTGTTATGCCAATTTATTGTACATTTAATTTAATTTCAAAGTATATTTGTGTGTGTGTGTGTGTGTGTGTGTGTGTGTGTGTGTGTGTGTGTGTGTGTGCACATGCAATTTTGTAGATAAACACATGATCTTAAATGTATGAATGTGGGCACATATTTGTGTCTGTTGTATGACAACAAGCATATGTGTATTGTGGCACAACACTGATGGTGCCCTCATCCTTTACGATGGACTAGTTGCATTATTACAGTGAGGTGTGGCATGCTTGATCATGCTTCATTCTGTGCATGGTTACAAATACTAGCCATCATTTAAGAGAATTGGTTTAAAATTATTATTGGCTAAGATAAGAAAAAACTGGATCAAATTTCAAGCAGAGGATAACTCAATGAATTAAATAGAAAAAAAGTATTTTAAGATGTAATATGTTTATAAAAATTTAAAGGCTTAAGTATGTCATGAAAGATTGAATACATTCTGTATTCGACCTGGGGAAGTAGTTTAAGATATAAAAATATGGAACATTAAAGCTAAATAAGATTTGAATATAAATAAAGTTTATATGGGGTCTAAGATAAAAATGGTTTAAGTTATGGAAATATAAACAGAATATTTAGGGAAAAAAAGGAAATATATGAAAGGCAACTTCACTTAGATAAAGTTTCTTCTTTTTTTTTTTGATTTTTTGAGACAGGGTTTCTCTATATATCATTGGGCCTTTTCCTGGAACTCACTTGGTAGTCAAGGCTGGCCTCGAACTCACAGAGATCCGCCTGCCTCTGCCTCCCGAGTGCTGGGATTAAAGGCGTGCGCCACCTCAGCCCGGCCCACTTAGATAAAGTTTATAATGAAGGAGAAAGCTAGCTTTCTAACTTTGGAAGGAGGATCTACCTAAAGGCTTCCATTGTGACCACAGAGGTTCATGGAAATGGCACCTTGGTTTCAAGTCACTTTTGGGTGAGGTATGAAGCAGGGATGAAATAGCTATACCATGTGACATCAGCACATGGACATTCTACTGTCTCCTGGAGAGCCCTGGCATTCCATGTGATGTCACCAGTGTTGTGGCAACACCAACTGTCATTGGGGCATTTGTGCAGTGTCTCGTGTTTCACCTACAGACATGCTGACTAGACTGAACAGGATTCTTAGGAGACAGGATGGCGAGCAAAGGGAGATCAGAGGGAGGCAGAAGGAAGATGACCTTCAGTCTCCATGTCACACACCAAGAAACAAATGGTTCTGGGGAAAGCACAGTGAGTCCTGGGAAAGGGAAGGGGAGCTTCCTGAAGAGGAAGGCTTCAGCTGATCCTTCCAGGAGGGGGGATCAGGAGGGGAGAGTTTCTGAGAAGAAATGGGCCTATCCTGGTCCTCTGAGTTCTTCAAGAGCAGACCCAGACTTGAGGATTTTCCATGGTTAGTTTGCAGAGAGCCAGGGATGGTCAAGGCTGAAGCTGCTCTGTTGAGGGCCCTCTGCTTTCACTCTGAGTGGGAAGGAAGCACAGAGGGACTAAAGAGGTTTCAGTTCCAGTCCTGCACTTCACCCACACTGGATTTCTTTTGGTGTGTGTCACTAATAACAGGGAGAGTAAAGTCCCCTGGCCAGATCTAGAGAGTCTCACATTTTAAATAACAACCACTAGCAGGACAGGAGCCACCAAGTATTGCCACATGTCAGAGACCCCTAAGGTTTCTGAGTTCCTGCCCTCTCACTAGCCAGTCCTCTTTCCTCTACCTTGAGTGCAGGACTGGGACATGACTCTTCCTGTAAGTATTTGTTCTTGGTGACTGAAAGCTCACCTGGGGATGCCCAGTCCTTAGGTAGTTTCAGTCATACCTTTCAATGACTGATAACACCTTTGCTAACATCATGATGGTTGGAATGTATTTTGCTGGAGGTTTTGGCAAAAGCTGCATCATTTCCTATGTGACTCATCATTTTTCCGACAAAACCCACATAATCCTTCACCATTCCCATACATTGTAACTGCTCAGTGGATCTTCTCTAATGTGCTTGTTCACTTCATGGAACTGATCTTCCTTCCCCATTGTCCTTAGCTATTTTCTTAGCATCCTTAATTTCTCATCTTATTAGCTGGCGATCATCAGGATGAACAGCCATTCCTGGGTAGTGTGTGGAAAGTGAGTCTTGCTCTCCACACATGATGAACTATTGAATTAGAATGAACTAGATTCTAATGAGTCAGAGAGATCATGGGGTGGAAGGAGGAGGTGCTGAAGGCCTTCCCCTGTGTCTCAGGAAAGACTCCAGGAAAGGGCAGCTTGGCTTTTGGTGAATTATTGAAGAGTTTGTTATCAGATAGGTAATGACCATTGGCAGTGGCCCTAACAGTCCATTCTCTGGAAATTCTATTGTACCCTGGAGAGCCTGTGGCATTTCCTGTGAAATCACCAGTGTTGTGGCAATGCCAGCTGCCATTGAGGCATTCACTAAGTGCTTATAGAGTTCACCAATTGACATATTGACATGACTGATTACACTGATTGGCAGAGAAAGCCCTAGTTTCCTAAGAAGGAGGTGAGGCTAGAAATGAACCTTCTAGGAATGGGGTCCTGTAGCTGTGATCATGAAGCAATGGGCCTATGCTGCTTGTCCGGGTTTCTAAAGAGCAGATCCAAGGTGGAGGATTCCTGATGGTTAGTTGGCAGAGGGCCAGGATTGGTCAAGCCTGCAGCTGCTGTGCTGTGACCTCCTTCAGTTCATTCTGAGTGGCAAAAAAATGCAACAGGAGGCCCAGAACCACTAATACGGTATCAGAATGGTATGTTGTTGCACTTTATATTTGATATAAATAGGAAGGAGGGAAACTTTCCATCCATGTACCCAGGTCTGAAACATTCAGTTCGTTTTAGTCGTGGACCCAGGTTATCACGGCTGGGAGGTGAAAACCACTAGGCTGGACTTTTTTGCATCACATTAGGTATGAGATGACAATTTCAAAACAACATGGCCGGCCTTGCTTATGTCTTTCAGACCCAGGCTGCTTCAGTAAGGCCTGAGGCATATATCTAGCCATAATGATTGGAGACAGACACATGGCTTATGAGGCCCAGCTTAAGGAGAGCTGTTCTGATCTTTAAGGGCTTCACTGGGTTCCACGCTTTTCCTCTTCCTCAGGCCTCCTCTTGGGACTCCACATGATCTTCTTAGCTTATGCCATTTATCTGTACAAATTCACATGTGTTTGTGTACCTACAGGGACTGCTAGGAAGGCATCATCCACACCCTTCTTCCTCACTGAGCAGGAGCACCAGCTGAACCAGGTGGAAAAACTGAAACTTCAGCTACAGATGATGACAAATGACAGGAATGAACTGCATGAATTCCTGGCCCATTACAACAATGAGTTGAAAAACAAGGTATTCATCAAGCCCTGTTCTCTGGTGACTGTCTTGACCCTACTGTGTCAATTCCAGCAGTCCTTGGACCACTGGAAGCTGCACCTGCAGGGCGACCTGCACAAACAAATTTTCCTGAATGCATCTGAGAGGCAGAACTGAAGCCTGTAGGAGTGAGATGGGACACAGGCTGTTCTGATTCCTCCTAATGAAAACCAGAGCCTGCGGCCTGAATCACAATCCACAGAGAGGGGCAGTAGGGTGTAAGATCACAACATGCATTTCAAGAGACCTTGACAGGTGTTGGCTTGTACGAGATGCTGGGTGCTCTGAGTTTAACCTGAGTCTCTGTATTTGACAAGATATTTTTGCTTGTTGCTCTGGGAGTAGCTTGAAGGGCCTGGTGGTTCTACTTGGTTCTTCTGTGTGTGACTGGAAGGCCTGGTGTCCATCTCTGCTCCTCTCTGGTCTTGTTCCTTATACTGTGAGACAATGCCACCTACCTACATTTCTTGTCATCCTAATTGCGTGTAGGTTTGTGTGTGTGTGTGAATTGCTCTCTAAGGGGCCCAAATATCACAATCATGGCAGTGGCAGGTTTTGCCCTTTTTAGTTCCCTCTCCCTTGATTAACCATTAGATTACATTCCTAAATTTAGTCCCCCATTTCATTCCCTTTTGTGGACACTGACTCATTCTTGAAACTAAACACCAAAGTCCAACAATCAAAATTCATTACCTGCCTACACTTGTCAACCTGTCCAATCAGATCTCAGCAACTCACCCTAGCACACACTCAAACTTTGTATTTAAAATCCCACTGCTGAAAAAAGCCTGCTGTGTGTTGTCTGTCTTTGCCTGATCCAGAGGCAGCTCCCAATGCCTTGCTTGCCCTGCGGGGAAATGCATCTCTTTGTGCTGACAATTTGGTGTCTCAGTGTGTTCTGTACTGTCTCTGAGAGGCTCCTTTACAGTGTGTGTGTGTGTTGTGTGCGTGTGTGTGTCCCTTCAGATCGTGAGAGTTGGAGGTTGATAGTAGGCCTGAGGATTTGCCTGTTTCAAAGATTTCAGTTGATATAAGTGCTGAGACCAGGGAGCTCCACTTTGAGCATCACTGTTCTCAGTCTTTGTGCTCACCCTGGTGCCTCGTTGGAATAACCTTGGGAGTTTTATAAAGCCATCCACATGGAGTGCCTACTCAAGCCAATACTGACTATGAGTTCTGGATATCCTTGTAAGGACAAACCATTTCTATTCTAACATCAGTGGAAATGTCATCACAGATTTCATGTAGGCCCATGCCTGTGGGCCTACATAGTGAGCTAGTCTACTCCTCCAGGCCTACTGAGGGAGCTCATGTAGGTCTGTCTCCCTCCCTGTTGACACCCAGCCTTTTCTGGCCCTGGGGCCGGGTAGGAAGTCTATTGCACATCAGGAGTTCCTAGTACATAGGATTCAGGATGTGACATCCAGTGGGCTAGGGTAGTGCAAAATACATCCTTAATTCATGGGGTCCCTGAGGCTTGTGTTCACAGGGTTCTTTGTTCCTGGGGCTATGCCCTACCACAGGCTGAATTCTGATCATGAGATGCAGAACACAGAGCATAAGATGGATATGGCAGATGTGATGAAATTACCTAAGGAAATTAGTGAGGCCTTGTACAAGTGTACGGAGCTGAGTGAGAAGACCAAAATCTCGCGGTGAGTGCCTGTCTGGGTGGACTCCAGAACTTGGTAAGGCCTGCTTCTTGTTGTCTGAAGTTTCTCCAGTCCTGCCTGACCTGCTGTCAGGAGGTTCTTGTTGTCTGAAGTTTCTCCAGTCCTGCCTGACCTGCTGTCAGGAGGAATCTGTCCCACCTGCCTCCTGCAGCCAAATGACCCAAATAAACACACAGAGGAACACATTACTTACAAACTGTATGGCCAATGGCTTAAATTTTCAGGCTAGCTAGCTCTTTCATCTTAAATTAACCCAATTCTATTATTCTGTGTTTTCCCACATGGCAGCTGCATTGCCAGGCTGCTGGCATGTTGCTCCTTGGGTTGCAGCTGGCATCTCCTCCACCTCTGCCTTTCTTCTTTGTCTCTCCTGAATTTTCCTGCCTGGCTCCTTCCTGCTGTGCCATAGGCCAAAGCAGCTTATTTATTAACCAATGTGTAGCTAGAGTTTCCCTGCGTGCCCACAGTCAGGACAAATCTTTGTCACCAGCCAGTCCCACAGCCGCTCAGACACAACCAAGAAAACATAGAGACTTATATTGCTTACAAACTGTATGGCCATGGCAGGCTTCTTGTTACCTGTTCTTATAGCTTAAATTAATCAATTTCCATAAATTTATACCTTGCCACGTGGCTTGTGACTTATTGGCATCTTCACATGCTGTTTGTCAGGGTGGCGGCCTGCAGTGACTCTTACTGCCTTCCTGTTCTTTCTCTTCTCTTCTCTGTAAGTCCTGCCTATTCTTCCTGCCTAGCCACTGACCAATCAGTGTTTTATTTATTGACCAATCAGAGTAATTTGACATACAGACTATCCCATAGCACCAATGAGAGCAATACATATTCACAGCATACAGAAAGACACCCCACAGCATCTTCTTCCCTTCTCCACCATTGAACCAAAGTGAGGGCTGAAGTTCTAGTCTGTTTACCTCTTAGCAAGCAGCCTGCCTTATAGCTCATGGATTTGTGCCTCCTAGACTGAGTTCTCCTAAGTGTGAAGAGTCGAAGAGCCCCTTCCAACTTTTCCTGGTCTGCTTCTGGAACTTCTAGACAGAAAATATTGTTTGTACCATGGTTTATGTGGCTCTGGCAGGAGCTTACAGAGCTGGTTTACATGGGACACACAGATGAAATGTATTCCAGATGGGTCTTCTGTCTCCCTCAGAGCATGGTTTCCCTCTATCTGCTCATGTTTTCCCAATACCATGAACAGTTAAGCACCAGGATGTGTGTGCGGGAGGTAGGAGATCCAGTCTTCATAGGTACATGGATCTCTTTGCTGTCAGGGTCTTCAGAAGTAGTGTAAATCTTTCTGGAATTTGGCTATTCTCTGGCTTTGGCCTGCACCTGAGTGATGCTGTCATGGCTAATGAGGGCTCCAGATGTTGGGGATGGGGACATGGGACCTTGCAGGAATCATGGTATTAGGAGGCAGGAGTGGCAGATGGAGATGGACCTCATCATTTCTTGTGATATTTCAGCACCCTCTACAGTCAGCACCTGAGTGAACAGACTCAGCTGAAGGAAAAAGTGAGAATGTTGCTAGAAGACAAGAAAAAGCTGCAGGGGGAGCAGATTTTACTACAAGAGTCCTGTGAGGAGGCAAAGAGGCTCTGTGAGGAGGCCCATGAGAAGATGTATGCCCTCTGGACAAGGCAGCTCCAGGTAGGTTGAAGAAGCAGGGCCCACCTGGCCACCAGGTTGACCATACACACACATATACTCACACCCATGTAACCATCTCCTCACTTATCCCACTGACCCATCCCATCCAATAGTTCACTTCTGTGATCATTTACAAGTCTTTCTGGGGAGTTAGCCTCTTAGAGCAAGCAAACCATACTGCTCTGCTGGAAGACACAGTTCATTGAGGGAGATGGGTCTATCATATACCACTCACCTGTTTGTAAGTATGGGAGGAGCCATGCTATGATGGAGCCACAGAGATCTGAGTGAGTCAGGTCAAGGGTCTGGGTCTCATTTGCTTGGCAGGGGTCATGTGAGATCAGAGGCAGAAACACCATGGAAGGAGGAATGCCCCCTGAAAAAGCCACATGACTCTGGCTCATAGACATCTTTTTTGGGTGTCATATGGCATTTTACCCTCTTGTTCCCAGACTGCCATGGTGTTCTCTTTACTTGGCCAAGCTCTTGGTTCACAATTCAAGAAACTAAATTAACAGTTTGTCACTACTATTTGCTGTGAGTGGCATTGGCCAGTTCTCCCATCCTGGATCTTACATTCAGAAGATCACTGGATTACCAGGGATCTGGCAAGGGCATATAACAGGCAGGGGTCAGGGTGGCACATTTGAGCCAACTGCATCAACATAGCCTGCAGAAACACAACATGCTTCCCCAGGCATTTTTAGTCCAAAATGATGCAGAATTGTGGGACTCACCTATAACAGCTAGTGTGAGGAGTATTAATCCAACTGGTAATGTCATCCTCATTCTGTGTGATGTCCTTCTCCCTGCGTTCTGATCACTGATGATTTGAGGGGTTTGTGTCTGTGTATGAGTGTGCCTGTCTGAGGGTGCATACATCTGTGGATGTTTTAGAAGGTCTGATGATGACATCGAGTGTCCTCTGTTGCTTTCTCCCTTATTCCCTTCA